CCTTTACCTATGGTTCCTTCATTCCACCAGGAGTGATCCCTGAGCACAGAGCCAAGGTAAGCCCTGAGCACACACACACAAAAATAAAACAAAAATGAAAACAAACCCAGAAGCCCTTCCTACTATGACCATATATTCTGATCCCTCTCTCAGTCCATCTCTTGCCCATTTTTCAAGGCTCATCACAAATGCTCATATTCTGTGATCACCTGGTCACAAGAGATGGTTTGTCAACTCCACAGTGCTCTACCATGATAATGATTTATTTGCATGACAGTGTGAATGATATTATTGACCTTTCACTAGTGTGTATTTGGGCCACATTATGTGACTTGCCCATACTTTTTTTTTTAGGTTTTTTCTGTTTTCTCTTTTTATTTTTTCTTTCCCTTTCCTTTCTCCCTCCCTCCTTGCTTCTCTCTGTTCAAACCTTTTATTCTTGGGCCACACTCAGCAGTGACAGGGTTTATTCTTTTCTCTATGCTCAGGGATCACTCCTGGTGTGCTTGGGGAACCATATGTGGTGACAGGGAACCAACTGGTGTTTTCAGTATATAAGGCTAGCGCCTTAACTCCTGCACCATCTCTCTGGTCCTCGTCTAGTTTTTCGTCTCTAGAATGGTGGTATTAGTAGTACCTATTTTAGAGAGTTATAGTGGGAATTCATTAGGATCATGCCTCACACAAAACAAGAATAATGCAAACTGTTATTTCTATGGGTATAGGGGAATACTTTACATGGTGCCAACTAACCCTCACATCATACTTGAGGTTCATGTGATTATATTTTTGAAATTATAGTACATATACATGCATAGAACATAAAATTTACCATCTTAACCATGTTTAAATGTAAATAGAATTCAGTAGGGTTGAATTCACTTACATTGTTGTTCAAACTCAGAATTCTTTTCATCTTGCAGAACAGAACCTCTATACCTATTAAACAATAGGCGCCATCCCCAGTCCCTGGCAAGCAAAAGCCTACTTTTCTCTGTGAATGATACTATACTTGTTGCAGATGGCAAAAACCAGAGTTCAAAGTAATTTGCTTCTCTGAGGCAGACTCTAGGCTTGAACCCAGGCTCCTATTCGGATACTGAGCCACTGTGCTATATGGCTCTAGAGCATCTGTGATGAATGTTCCCTCCTTCACGATAATGCTGGCCATAGTATGCCCGCGTACCTCTGAAGGTTTTTTTTGTTTGTTTGTTTTTTAGTTATTCTCCCATTTCAGCCTCCCTGTAACCAGACAGTCATTGTGAGGGTGGTGTCCTATCTCTCACACAGAGTCTGGTACAGAATAGGGACATAATAAACATGTTTCGTAAATGAGGGCGGATGTCTTGATGCTTTTAAGCAGGTAAAACAATTATCAATAAATTTCTTGCACATTTTTAATGCAACTGTTTATATTCTTAAGAAGTGTTGATTCTCTCAGGAGAAAACCAGCTGAAATCCATGAGGCACCGAGAGCCTTGCAATCCTCTTCTCTCTCTCCTCCCGCAGAGTCATTCTGCTCTTCTCACCCCATGGCCAGCCCTCAGGCTGCCCCCGCTCGGCACCTCATCTCATCGCTAGCTTTGCTGGTTCACAGCCAAGGCAGAAACAAAACTGGCCAGGCCAGCAAGGGGACATAGGAGACTCTCCCTGCTCTTTCTCCCCCTGCCATCCACCCACACTCTTCCCTCTACTCATACCTAATCCTGGCCATTCTGGGAGAGCTCTGTCCTTTCACGCCTACGTGACTTTACACATGCTGTTCTTGAAGACTGGAATGCTTTCCCTCCCCTCTTTGTCCACCTCCAGAACTCCTACAGCCTGTGTAAGTCAGCTCAGATGTCACCTTCTCTGTGAAGCCTCCTTCCATGACCCCCCAGCTATGAGTCCACCTCCTTCCTGGTGCAGACTAGCTCACCATATACATAGCACTTGGACTACAATGGCTGTCAACAAGTCATAGTACCTCCATGTCTCCAACACCTTGTGCTGATGAGGCTTCAGACTCTGCTCCAAGCAGGGGTCAAGAGAAGCCCGAGTCATTTCAACTTCATTTAATGTTCCAGGTATAGATGAAAATGACGAAGTAACAAGACAATAAATATTGAGAATTATTTCAATTGTTTTGCAGTGCCATAGTCTACTATGAGCTCCAAGCAAGGCTTATTTACAGTTGTCTATTTTTTATTTTAGGATGCACCTGGCAGTACTTGGGGATTACTCCCCATCTCAGTATTCAGCAGGGTTCTGGAGACCATGTGGAGCCAGGGACTGAACCTGGGGCTCTTGCATGCAAATCATATGCACTAGCCTGTATTGTTATCTCCCTGCCCCTACCCTACAAGGCTGTTGAGTTTTGAGGTCCACACCTGGTGATGTTCATAGGTTACTCCTGGCTCTGTGCTCAGGAATTAATCCTGGAGGTACTCGGGGAACCAGATGGGATGCTAGGGATCAAACCCAGGTTGGCCGCATGCAAGGCAAACACCCTCACCGCTATACTATCTCTCTGGCCCATGGCTTTTAATTTTTTTTTCGGTGTTTGAGCTATAACTAGCAGTGCTCTGTGCTCAAGAGTAACTCCTGACGTCTGGGACATATGCAATATCAGGAATAGAACTGGGGCCAGCTGCATACAAGACAAGTATCTTCATTCCTATACACTTGTTTCAACTTCCTAAGGCTTAGTTCTAAATCTCTAATGAATGTTTCTCGTACAAGAATTACAACATCAGGGCTGGAGCAAGAATTTGCCTTGCACGCGGCCAACCTTCATTCAATTCCTGGCAACCCATATCGTCCCTGAGTGCTGCCAGGAGTGATCCCTGAATGCAGAGCCAGGAGAAACCTCTGAGCATTGCCAGGTGTGGCCCCAAAACAAACAAAACAAAGAATTACAACACAATTGTGCTGTTCACAAATAGAATTTATTAAAATATAATAAATTATAGTGTTCCACAGGCCCAGTGATCTATTAATAAAAAAGCAAGTTTTTAAGGATATATAAGGAAAGGGTCAGAGAGAGAGTGTACAGCAACTTAGGTACTTGTCTTCCATGCAGTCAATCTAGGCTTAATCACTGGCAGGAGTGATCACTGCACACAGAGACAGTAATAAGCCCTCAGCAGCACTGTATGTGTACCATTTTTTTAGTAGAAAAGAATATCTAAGTTGGGTTTCTGTTCAAATCATTCAGTGGCTCTGGTAGATTGCCCTATTTGGAGAGAATATGCCTTGTATATGTTGGCCCAGGGTTACATCATCCACACTGAAAAAAAAAAAAAACAACCAAACAAAACCACGAAAGCCTAAATTGGAAGCTGCAGCCAAATGGTTCATTCTACTAACTCTTTCCCAGTTAGTTTCCACTGCTGCCTCTACACACAGTAGGTAAGTGCTCATTGCTGAATGATGGGGGCAAAGACAGCTTTCCAAGCTGGTTACTGAAAACCCACATATGCAAAGTATTCCTGGGAAACAATGGAGTCCTGAACAATGGGGCAGGAAGCTACCTCCTCCTCCAGTGACCCCACTCCTTAGAGTCAGCTGAAGGCTATAACAGGAAGCCCCTCACCCACTGTCTTTCCTCCCCTGCTCCCCTGCTCCCCTACCTCCCAGAAGGCATCAAACACAGTCATGCTTTCCATCCACTCAGCCTTTCCTCTTCTCCACTCGCTGGAGGGTCCAAAGTGAAGAAAGAGAAAAGCACCAACTCACAGGAGGCAGGCCTAAAGGAATGAAAGAAACAGCAGAGGACAAAGAAGGAACTAGAACAATAGAGCAAGGGGGTTGTGAGTAAAGCCTAAGGAAATTTACAAAGTAATCTGTCAGAGTAGGGATGAAAAGGGAGCCCTGCTGGGCTGAGGGGCTCAGGCACTCAGCTCACCTTAGACCCAGTTAGATGCCGGCAAGTCTGTACTCTATCTCAGAGATTTCCTTGAATTTGAGGTCCTAACTTTCTGAGTCTTTGGCAGCCCCAAATACATTTGCTCTGCTGGGCTCAATATACTATTCACTTGGAGCTGCCAAACTGGCCCAACTTCAATTCCCTCTGGATTTACAGCAGAAACTCGATTAGAGAATAAGGTCACCAGCAGATCATCACAGCGGTAGAGCCACTCTGCGTTCCTAGGTTTTCTGAGTCAGAAGAAATATCCACAGGCCTTTCTGGGAATCCACGCTGCTGCCACTAAAGGTAATAATAATAATAACAGCTATCATCTCAGTGCACATTCTGTGTGGAGTGCTTTTTATTGGGGGACGGTGGCATGTGTCACGTCCAGTGGTGCTCAGGGGTCAGTCCTGGCCATGCTCAGGGGATGGTACCATGCTGAGGAATCAAACCCAGGCCTGCCTGTTGGGCTATCTCCCTAGTCAGTGGAGAGTTTAAATCATTTCACTTAGTACTCACCACTACCTGACGTTGCTCCATTTTACAGGAAGACAAATGAGACCAGAGAGCTTAAATGACTTTCCAAAGAAAACATAGCCTGGATTCGGACCCAAGTCTGATCTGATGTTCTTTCACTGCTTCCTGGAGACCCTCCGTGATTCCATTTCTTGGTGGCGCTTGTAGAAGTTTTAGAGGGGGTGAGATGGTAAAATTAGTAGTATCTAAAGAATCCTCACAAGGGACAAGAGTGGGAAAGGGAGAGTCTGCCTTATGGCCATACAGGATCCTTGCTCTTTTTAAGAACTTGAGTAATTTAACCATAAATAACCTGGTACTTGGAACAGGACATTCGCTAATAAAAACAGGGTCTGAAGTCATTAAAAAAAATTTTTTTTCCCCAAGACACTCAGTGGGTAAGATGTATCTGCAAAACAAAAGAAAAGTCCCTTTCCCAGTGTAGCAGAGAAGTCTCCTGTACAGTTAGAGACAACAGGCTTCTGGGCACGTAGCCAAGGTTCTGGGGATATTTATAACTTGAAGAGGGTGGGAGTCCCTAATAAGCTGCTATATTCTTTTTCCATCACTTCCCTCTCCAAGGCTACGGCGAGCTCAGAGCTCTTCCCCACGCAGAATGCCTGCTCGTCCGAGGGCTCGGCTTCCATTGTCTGATTTTCTCACCGTGGCTGGGGAAAGGGAAGATTTCAAGGGCTTCCTTCAGAACTCCCGTTGGATGCAGCTTTAGCTGCTGATGGTGTTTCTTGGCTAGCTGCTGTGGTCTGAGGATCTGCTATGCGTCTGTGGTTTCTCGGAGCTGCCGGAGAGTCTGAGGTTGGGGGAATCAGAGTCTTTGGGATCCGCCCACGATCTCGACCTCTGTGCTTCGCCTGCAATGCTACCTGCGGGTCTGCGATGCCCGGGACCTGCCAGTGATCTCTAGAACCTTTCGGGACACCAGAAGGCTCAGACAACTCTGCCTGAGGATTGGAATCTATTTGAGGTTTCTCCGATCTAGTGGATCTTACTTGGGCCAGGAGGTAAGTCTGTTCGTTCGCAACTGGGGATTTTCTGCTTCCTACCTTCGACTCATCCTGGTGCTAACATTCTTAGAACCCGCCTTGCCAGCATCCCGAGGACCCGGCTCAGGCCCTCGGGGACTGGCCAGGAACCCTTTCAGCACACAAGCCCTCGGGGCTGATAAGGACAGCTCTCTACAGCGCTGGAGTCTGGCTCTCTCTTCTTTACCTGTCCTACCCTCCACCCTCCGCTTCTGATGTTTAACCTTCACGGTTTTGGCTTCTCAAACCATGCTGGGCGACACGTAACCCGCCTTTCAGGCGGTGCCCTCTTTCAGAAAGAAACGAGAGACCGTGAACTCCTAGAGGGTTAAAAGCGCTGAAGCCGGGACGCCTCCGGGCCCCGCAGCCAGCACACTGGCAAGCCGCCGGGCCTCCTGGGAGTTGTAGTCAATTTAACAGGCCTCTAGAGCCGCAGGTGCTACTGGGAGATGTAGTCCGTGGGCGGAGCCTAAAGTTCCAGCGCGTCCGCGGAGCTTCCCCTGGGGAGTGGGCGGCAGCCGCTTTCCTCTCGGGCCGACGTTGTGAAATAAGGGTTAACCCCGTAAACCTCAACGTAGGTCAGAGCCTGGATTAGTTCCACGCTGCCGGTCACGTCCGACTCAAGCTTCTAGGGACGTCACGAGAAGTATGGTAAACTTCCTAGCTTAATCGGGTGGTGAGCTGCAAAGAGAAGACAGCGGGAAAAACTCCGCTCTGGCTGAGGAAGACGGGCAGTCCTCTTCGCCCTTTTGTTCTTTTCCCTCCTTGGCTTTTGGCCTCCGACTGGCCTGGTGTACGCCGGCGTGGAACTGCAACTCCCAGCAGGCTAAGGGAGGGTGCGCAGGCGCGCTAGGGAGCCCAGCCACGCTCGGGAGGCGGGCCTGGTGTCCGGCACCTGATGGGCAGAGCGTTTGTCGGGCTTCGCTCGCTGATTGGCGGAGGCAGCTGCCGGAAAGGGCCCGCTCTGGAGATGGTAGAGCAGAGGCGTTCTGTGGGCTGGGCTGGGAACCTCCTCCCCGAGGCAGCGTCGGCGTGACCCACGGCCCGCGAGGGACCGTGCCAGGGGGCTGTAGTAGTAAACTCTCGCAGAGTCTCCACCCCGTGGTGGCAGAGACACAGAGGAAGGGTTGCGTTCTAGGGCCCAGAGGACAGTGACCCGGCTCGGGTCCAGGGCCCTCCCCACCCGCCTGGCGGCCAGAACACCAGCCCTGGGGAGTGGGCAGGGCCTGTGTTCGGTGCCTCACGCCCTGCTTTTCGCCTCCTTTAGCGCTGTCTGTTAGCTGCTTTTCCTGCTCTCTCTCCTGGGAGGCGAATCCTTGAGCCAGAGATGGCAGCCACCCTGCTCATGGCTGGGTCCCAGGTAAGCCGGGGGTAGATTCTCGGACCTCGCCTCTGCTTACCCACCTCGCCCGGGCGTTTCTGTCCTCTGCAGATCCTTGTGGGAGATTGCGTGAGATTAGCAATTTACTCGCTTCGGTCTTCTGATTCCAGGAGTCTGGTACTAGACCAGCAGAGTCAAAAACAAACATTGATGGAACACTTGCTGCATGTATCTAATTCTTGGGGAGACAAAAGATGGATGAACCGGGCCCGCTCTGCCTGCTCTGAATCCATAAGGAGATAGATGCATCTGGTTCACAGTGATACAACACGAGAAGAGCTACCACCCCCACCCCACTTTTCATACAAAGTGCTCTAATGTGAGGACCAAGAAAGGGGAGTGATTAATTCAGAAAGATAGAGGGAGGACTAGGGAGGAGCAGAGGGTTGGAAGGCACAGAATTGTTGGTACTGAAACAAAGCCTTAAGGAATAGAAGGACTGCACCAGTCTTAGGAAAAAAGAATCATTGTGAGTAAAGGTATGGAGTGATGTAAGTGCTAAATATATCCTGAGAAAAGAAGGGCGAGCATGTATCCCAGAGGGTGGAAGGGATGTCTCTGTGTTTATGGGGTCAGATAAATTAGCTCCAAAGTTGCTCACTTCTTTCCCACATTGCTTTACCTGTTTTATTTCTTCTTTGGACTGTACAGATTGGACTTACTCTTTGCCTCCGTCGTGTTTCCAGACACGTCTCTAATTTTTAAGAAGACGGAATGGTACGACCCTCTCCCGTAGTATTAATGAGGAAGCATTGTGTGATTTCAGGCACCAGTGACATTTGAAGATATGGCCATGTATCTCACCAGGGAAGAATGGAGACCTCTAGACCCTACACAAAGAGACCTTTACAGGGATGTTATGCAGGAGAATTACGGAAATGTTGTCTCATTAGGTAAGTAAGGAATCTCTGTATTTCTCCATCCCACAATTTTGAGACTGTGTCAAAAATTGTTTAGCTCTTTCAACACAACTTAGTTGTTTGATTTCCAAAGCACTTAATTGGATATTGGCGTGAGTTGAGTCCTTCAGGCAAATCATTGAGTGTGGGAACATCAGGATCACATTGTTTAAAAAAGAATTTTTCTGCACATTTTAGGAGTCTGGTTTCTTGTACCCTGAGTCATTTTCCATTCTCTAGCCTGTTTGTACAGATCACTGACCAAACAGGTCTGACATAATGGTGCTTGCCAGGATATAAATGCTCCTGTAAATGATGCCTTTACTAGAAGATGAGGGGGTTCTGACCCAGGTTCATGAAAAGGCAAAAGCTACCTTTGTACATTTGTTTTGGCTTTAGAACTCTAGTTTTGCCTCAGGTCCTTGATTTACCTGGAGTAGATGTTTGTCTTAGAGATGTTTCATAGTCACTCATAGATTTTGAGTGTGTCAGATGTTATTCTAGGAGAATCCTGATCTAAATGAGATCACAAATTATCTTAGAAAAGGTAGCTATTTATCTTAATGGCCTTCAAGTCTGTTTTCTATTTTAGTATTGACTGAATTAAAATGGACAAGCTAGAGGCCAGAGTGATAGTACAGCAGGTTGGATGTTTTCCTTGCATGAGGCCATCCAGGGCTCAATCCCCAGAACCCCATATGATCCCCCAAGCACCACCAGGAATAATTCCTGAGTGTGGAACCAGGGGTAACCCCTGAACATTGCCAGGTGTGACCCAAAAAACAAAAATAAAAACTAAAATGAACAAGCTATTCTTGCATTGTACAGTATTTTGATTCACATTGTCACCTATTAAAACTTAACAAACCATATATATGGTTTACTAGATCATTGATTATTTATAAAGATTAATCCTTTACCCTTTTTTTCCCTGCTTTTGAGTGTTCAGGTGTATTCAGGGTTTACTTCTGGCTCTGAGCGCAGGGATCACTCCTATTGGTGCTCAGGGGACCACATGGAGTGGTGGGATTGAACCTGGGTCTACTGCCTACAAGATAAGTGCCCTACCTGATGTACTATTTCTCTGGCCCTGGAATTCCTTTTTAATTTGAATACCTGAATTTCTAAATAGCTCAGATTCTTCCTTTAGGAAAATAACTAAAAGTGAAGTTAACTACCTGTATCTATTGCAGTCTGTAATTCAGATATTCCACTCAGAGTGACAGAAACGTGAAATGAGAATCTTACGTCTACTTTTTATTGTCTACTTCAAGGAGCACTTATGAGAAAGATGAAAGGATGGGGGTCGGAAAGAGATAATACCACTGGAGTGCCTTGCACACACATGACCCCATTTCTACTCCTGGCACCCCCTATAGTTTCCCAAACCCACCAGGAGTGATTCCTGAGAACAGAGCGAGGAGTAAGCTCTGGGCATAGCTGGGTAAGATCCCCCCCCATACAAAAAAAAGAAAAGAAAAAAGATAAAAGTATGGAAACATCATCATAGTAATAATATTATTTATACAAATATTTTTAAAAGTAACACAGTCATTCCTTTTTTTGTTTTTTTTTGTTTTGTTTTGAATCACACCTGGTGATGCAGAGGGGTGACTCCTGGCTCATGCACTCAGGAATTACTTCTGGTGGTGCTCGGGGAACCATATGGGATGCTGGGAATTGAACCCAGGTCAGCCGCGTGCAAGGCAAACGCCCTACCTGCTGTGGTATCGCTCCAGCCCCTACAGTCATTCTTTATTTTCTTGTTTTTGGGTCACAACCTGTAGTACACAGGTTTGTTTGTTTTTTTTCTTCTTTTTTTTCTTTTGTGCTCCTGACAGTTGTTAGAGGACCATATGCAGTTCCAGGGATTGAACCGAAGTCATCTGTGTGCAAGGCAAGCACCTTAACCCCTGTTCTATCTTTCTGGCCCATAAAAGTATTATTAAGTAGTGGGTTAAATAATGTTTAGAAGACATGTATATGTGTATATGTGGTTCTGGGGATTAAGCCCAGAAAGAATATCATACATTCAAAGCACGCGTTCTACCACAGAGCTATATCCTCAGTTCTTGAAAGTCTTCTTTACCTCAAGACTTATTTTGGTTTGTTTTTGAGCCACATCCAGTGGTTCTCAGGGATTATTCTTGCTTCTGTGCTCAGGGAACTCATGTGCTGCCAGGAATCTAACCCTAGCTAGCTGCTTACAAGGCAAGAACTTTACCTGTTTTACTATATTTCTGGTCCTACTTAAGTCTCTTATGAATCTTTAACATATTCTGAATTTCTAACAAGATGTTATTTACAAAAAATATCATTATAAAAATTTTATTCACCTTTTGTCACCTTTTTTTTTGAAGAGCATACTAAGAAACACAACTTAGAAAAATCAGGACATAGTAGAAAGTTTGTTGCAGATAGTATTGTATATTTTTATTATTATTAATAATAATAAGAATATTTAACTTAAAGGTAAAGGTAAAGGCCCTCCCGTTGATCGTCGATTTGCTCGAGCGGGCCCAGTAACGTCTCCATTGGAGACTTTGTTGTTACTGTGTCTGGCATATCGAATACTCTCGGTAGCTTGCCGGGCTCTCCGAGAGGGGTGGAGGAATCGAACTCGGGTCGGCCATGTTGGCCGCGTGTAAGGCAAACGCCCTACCGCTGTGCTATATGCCTGTCTGAAAAATTCTTATTAAGTTAAATATAGGTATGGCCCTATATTTAACTTAATAAGAATTTTTCAGACAGGCATTTTTGTTTGTTTTATTTTGGAGCCACATCTGGATGTGCTCATGGGTTAAATAAATCTGGTTAAGTGCTTGAGGGGGTGGGAGATCATTACAGAGGTGCTTGGGGGAATGTGTTCCTGGGGATCCAACTCAGGCCCCCTAAATATGTGTGTGTGTATGTGTGTGTGTGTATTCATAAAGAACCACTAATTGTAAAGCTAGAGCAGAGCCTTTCATAAGATAGAGCTATGTTTGTTCCACTGTTTACTACTACTAAGACTTTTTGCAAGCTATTTCACTTCTCTGGCTCTTGGTTTTCTAATTTATAAAGTGGAAATAATCATAGCACCTAACTTTCAGGGTAGCACTGTAGCACTATCCTCCCATTGTTCATCGATTTGCTTGAGTGGGCCCAGTAATATCTTCATTGTGAGACTTGTTGTTACTTTCAGGATAGCTGGAGTAATTTATGTAAAGAACGTTAGCACTTTGTGTGCTGGAGAGATAGTTCAAAGGACTGAGTGCATGCTTCGCTTAGAGGAGACTTGGGTTTGCTCTCTAGCATCATGTTGTTCCTGGAGCACTGCCAGGAGTGACCCCAGATGGTGATTCCAAAACAGCAACAGGAAAAGCACAATGTGTGGCTCTTGCTAGATAATTCTACATTATTCTAGTATGATTATCATTATTTACCTTTTTTTTTTTTTTACAGATTTTGAAATCAGGAGTGAGAATGATGTGAATCCAAAGCAAGAGCTTAGTGAAGATGTAGAATTTGGGAGTACATCTGAAAGACCTGTTGGCAATACTGAAGAAAACCCTGACAGTGAAGAGACCTTTGAAAACAGGGATAGAACTGAAAGACAATGGGGAGATTTAACAGCAGAAGAGTGGGTAAGCTATCCTCTCCAGCAAGTTACTGATTTACTTGTCCACAAAGAAGTCCACACAGGCATCCGGTATCATATATGTTCTCACTGTGGAAAAGCTTTCAGTCAGATTTCGGACCTTAATCGACATCAGAAAACCCACACTGGAGATAGACCCTATAAGTGTTATGAATGTGGAAAGGGTTTCAGTCGAAGCTCACACCTTATTCAGCATCAGAGAACACACACTGGGGAAAGACCTTATGATTGTAATGAGTGTGGGAAAAGTTTTGGAAGAAGCTCTCACCTCATTCAGCACCAGACAATTCACACTGGAGAAAAGCCTCATAAATGTAATGAATGTGGAAAAAGTTTCTGCCGGCTCTCTCACCTAATCCAGCATCAAAGGACCCACAGTGGGGAGAAACCCTATGAGTGTGAGGAATGTGGGAAAAGCTTCAGCCGGAGCTCTCACCTAGCTCAGCATCAAAGGACCCATACGGGTGAGAAACCTTACGAGTGTAATGAATGTGGCAGAGGCTTCAGCGAGAGATCTGATCTCATCAAACATTATCGAGTTCATACTGGTGAGAGGCCCTACAAGTGTGATGAGTGTGGGAAGAATTTCAGTCAAAACTCTGACCTTGTGCGCCATCGCAGAGCCCACACAGGAGAAAAGCCATATCACTGTAATGAGTGTGGGGAGAATTTTAGCCGCATCTCACACTTAGTTCAGCACCAGAGAACTCACACTGGGGAAAAGCCATATGAATGTAATGCTTGTGGGAAAAGCTTTAGCCGGAGCTCTCATCTCATAACACACCAGAAAATTCACACTGGAGAGAAACCCTATGAGTGCAATGAGTGTTGGAGAAGTTTTGGTGAAAGATCAGATCTAATTAAACACCAGAGAACCCATACTGGAGAGAAACCCTATGAATGTGTGCAGTGTGGAAAAGGTTTCACCCAAAGCTCCAACCTCATCACACATCAACGAGTTCATACAGGAGAGAAACCTTATGAATGTACTGAGTGTGAGAAGAGTTTTAGCCGAAGTTCAGCTCTTATTAAACATAAGAGAGTTCACACAGACTAAATCCTTATAAGAATGATGACTGGGAAATGATTCCTTTGAAGGTACAATTTTATTTGATATCAAAAAACTATTTTGAAATTGAGCTGCTTTTACCATATTGAATTTCCTGGTCTTGTGCCAAGGTTTAAATCATCAAAGAAAAGAAGCCATTTGAAGTTCTAATCCACAACTTTGGAAATGGTATCCCCACCTCTAACAAGTGATTTTTATTATTCAGTATTGATAAATTACTCCATCAAAATCAACCTCTTTTGTAACTGGAAATCTGAAGACCAGGCAATAAATGCTAATAAATGCTCTGGCTAGAAATGAAGTAAACCTTTCAAAATTGTTTCTCTCATCCTTGCCCAAAGAACTTTGCTAGGGAAAATGTTCAAATGTAATAGGATGGTCAAAGCTGTTTTCCAGAGACTGCCTGAATTGCCACACCTATTCACTCTCTATAGTACTGATTGCATACATCTCCTTCAGAGCTTTTTCCCTGAAATGCTCATGCACCTGTATCTTTACATATTTCTGAGAGCAGGAGTCTACACAGTGAAGGCAATGATCATAACTTTTCTCATTGTTTCTAATTACACTTTTAATGCTTGAATCTTTGTAAAAGCTATCTGAAGATACAAATTGGATGGAAAAGCGAGACACAGGCTTGGGGACCATGGACTCATCAACAAGATGATCATCTCTTTAGCAAGAGATGCCCACTGTATTAATTGGAAGTTATTAATTTTCTTTGGAGATTACTGTAGGAAAGTCTCTCCAAGGAAAGATAAGACCATAAGTGATAGTCTTATCACTTCTTACAGAAGTGAGTGAAATTGACCACTTCAGGGAAGGAAGCCCAGAGTCCCTTCCAAAGGTCATTTCTGTGTTATTTCCCCTTACCTGTTGCAAAGACCAGTTCTCCCTATACTGCTAACTCTAGGATTTGATAAGGGCCACATCCCAGTGTTTATCTTAGCTTCCATAAGAGCATGTATATGTACAGTAAAATGTGTATTCCTGTGGCTTTTCTAATAGGTATTGAATTCACACTGAATTAGCATGTTCCTGGTTGATGTTGATCATGTGACAATTATAGACATAACTTCAATGGGAGTAATGTCATTGTTTTCATTCTTTATGAAAAAAAAAACACTAGTTACTCTAGTGTGCACTCTCCTGTAAGATCTGTCTTTATACAAAACTACTTGTTTATTGTATCAGTCAATTGTGGGAGATAATGTCGGACAAATAGTTTGATTGTCCTGTTCTCAGACTGAATTATCTTTTTGCCTAGCCACAAGGAATTAATAAACCTAAATAGGAATGTATTTCCATCTCCCAGCCTACAGATATGTGGTTACAATAAGAGGTGACCCAATTTAAGCTCAATAGTGTCAGTTCTTTTTCTCTTAACCTAAATTAAGACATATTCCAAATGTTTTTGTTTATCTCAGAATGTGGGAGTAGAGTAGGAGGGAATTTATGCCCAGGAAATGGGATTGGAGTAAGCTTTTTTTTGAGAGTACCCCAAGTTATTTCTGCTGTGCTTTATTGTGACAATTGTAACATTTGAAAAATACTTGTGCTATAGCTCTTTTGGACTTGGTATTATGGGAATCAGTGATCTCTCTTGGTGTACTATAATACTTGTGATCCACAGCTGTGTGGGACTTCATCCTTTGCAAGTGATAGAACCTCAGAAGTAACAAAATGAAAAAAATCATTCCACTAAGGAGATTTTTCTATGTTGTCACTCCTATTTAAAAACAAACAAGCAGGGAGCATATTTTTTCTTTCTATATGAAATCTAGAAGATTATGAGTATTCATATTTTAATTGTTGAAGTTACAAGTTCTCGATAACTAAATTCAAAACATTACTTTTCCTGCATCAGTGTTGTTGCTGACGGTTTTTAATGAATATTAGATTTCTTCTTTCCCCCTCATCCCTTTTGAGACATCAGCTTTGGCGTGGCCATAGAAGATTGTATCTCCGTGATGTAGCTACATTCCTCCCTGTCTTTTTTCCCCCTATTTTCTTGCCCCACCCCCAAAGTGTTCCTGCTGCTTCTTTTTGGCTCCTAAGAGCTCCAGCTATGTTTCTTTACATGTACACTCCAGCTGGAAAATTGAAAGGGCAAGCACCGGACCAGCTCTTTATTTTCTCTGCCAACTGCTGCCCATTGGCTGTGTTGAACTTTGTGTAGAAGTTGTGCATTAGACTCTCTCGCTAATGAATTGTGCATGCCCTCTACTCCCAAGTTTTTGGCTGCTTCTGCACAATACCCTTAACACTTTGTGCCTGTTTTCTATGGTTGTAGAGAGTGAGTGAACAAGTAAGTACATCGAGCAGTTTTCCTTATATTGGTCACAATCATAGTGTCTATCTTCATCTGTATCATTCTAACTATATTCTACAATTAAAAGCATACTTTTAAAAGCAAAAACTGGAAATTATTTAGTAATCCAGCACCAATTCATAAAGTGACTTTTCTTCAGATTCATTAAAATTGAGCATAATTGTAAAAACTTTGATGTACTTGTTCAGATGTTGTTCACACATTGGTGAGTACTCTAAATATAGCCTTATTTGAAGAAGATGCAGAAATTTGGTCAGTTTTCTGTGAAAATTAGGCTGGTGGCAAAGCAATAGGAATATAAACGATATATAATAGTGAATACCTTTGAAAAAGAAAAAAATGAGGGGAACTTTTGCTTTAAAGAGAGATTTTTGGGTATCTGTTAAGAATGCTAAAATAATTTCTGCTGAACCTGTATTGGGATTCCAAAACAGAATCTTTATCTCTTAGAGTAAAGGACTTTATTAATTCCACAGCTGCCAAAGGCTGTACAGTTACCATGGTGTGGCTACAATTTTCATATTACTTTTTTAAAAAATTATTTTTTGCTTTTTGGGTCACACCCCACGATGCACAGGGGTTACTCCTGGCTCTGCATTCAGGACTCACTCCTAGTGGTGCTCAGGGCACTATATGGGATGCTGGGAATCGAAATCAGGTGGGCCATGTGCAAGGCAGATGCCCTACCTGCTGTGCTATCACTCCAGCCCCAATTTTCATATTACTTAAGAGTAATTTTCTCTTATAGAAACTTGTAATTTTTTAAATGGAGCGCTGGTCTAGGCAGAGGTAGATTTGGAAGTACTTTAAACTAGGAAGATTTACAAATGAGAAAGGAATGTAATTGACCCTCTAGCTAAGCTTGAAAAAGAAGAGATTTTATCAAAACGTGAGTATATACATATATACACATTATATATCATATTATACATATATATGTTTGTTTAAACAATAGAATTTCACTGTGCAAAGCCAGTACTTGCAAACAATGTCTCTCACATGTGAGGCATGTTCACTACCATTCTTAGTCAGCCAAAGCATTTTTCAAAACTTATTATTATTATTATTATTTTTTTGCATCACACCTGACTATGGGCTCAGGAAGTACTCATGGCAGTACTCAGGGGTCTATATGGGAAGCCAGGGATTGAACCCGGGTCAGACTCCAGCCCCCTCAGAACTATTTCTAATTGCTCAACATTTGACCTTTTCTGGAAAGAAAGTTAAGTACACTATCAGTTTGCCTGGGAAAAGGTAGATCAGTACCTACCAGCTGAGGGTATTTGATATGTTAATATTACCCATTATTATTATTATGGACCTATTTTCCTTCAGTGTGAGCTGTTCTCTATTTACTAGCTGTTGGTTAGGGATCAGCTTCCAGCCCATTAAGATCCCATTGACTTCCCTGAAAAGATAATATGTTAAATGAGTCCTTTGTGTTTCAAATCTTCATTTTTCAAATGTTAGTGTTTGTCAGTAAAGGTGTTCTTATACCATGGGAGAAATGAGCTCTTTGAAGCATTGGTTAGATACCCATCTCTGTAGTGGAGTAGCAGTCTTGTGCCTTGGTTATTTATAGATGACTTAAAGATTAAAAGGTTATTAATGAAAAGCAATTGAGAAGCAAAACTAATGGAAGAAAATTACCCTGTAATGAGCTAAAATGGTTTCATGGTTAATCCCATTGTATTATATGTTTTCTTCACGTTCCAAGTTAATATAATTGAATAACTGGATGAATGGAGAACAAAGGTGGTTTTGTTTTTCCTTCTGAGAGAAATTGACTGTGTTAAAATATGATTGATTTTAACACAGTTCCGACAGCTGCTTTGTTGACTTTTACATTTGGAAATTGTCAGAGACACCTTAAATCAAATCTTAAACTGAAGTTACCCAACAACTTCTTTCTTTGACCACATTCCACTTGTCTTCTCTTTTTCTAAATCAGTCATTGTCTAGTTATTTAAGCACAAAACTTAAATATTTGACAACTGATCCTTAATTCACCCTCTCCAAATCAATTATTTTTTGAAGTCACCCATTTATGACCATACCACCCCCTAAATCTCAAATCCACCTACCTAGTTCTCTCTACTGCCAACACTTTATATGAACTTGGGTAAGCTATTTAATTTTTCTCTCCTTGAATATCCTGTCAATAAACTTCAGACAATTAGACCACCCTCAAAGAATTGTAAGGATTAAATGAGATGATGGGTCTCAAAAGCTGTAGTTACACAGATCATTACCATGCATCTTGCTTACTGAAACATTCTCCAATGAGTTACTGCTTTTCTGTTTTCAACCCCTCCTTTGATGTTTCCCTTGCTGCAGTTAGAATGATCTTATCGAACAGACCAATAAGATCATTTTTTATCTTTCATAATGCTTTTCTGAAAACCGCATGCTTCCCATTGCCTTCATCAGATCAGATAGATTCCTTCGGTATAATGTGTACATCATCTATGATCTGGCCTCTGCTGCCCTCCTCTGCTTCAGTTTTCTGCTTTTCTTCTTCCAAACTGTCTCTCTTTCTTCATTCTTTTGGACAATTCCTTATCCCCCAAGTCTCATACCTAAATTGTTTTAAGAACGTTTTTTTCTGACTCCACCTAGGTCAGCTGTTCTTTTTTAGTGTCCCCTGGGATTTTCCCAGTCTGAACACATTATCCTTGTGTTGTAATTGCCTATTTACTTTTTCTCCGTTAGACTTTGATACCCTTGAGAAGTCCTGTGTGTATTTCTCACCATTGTATCTTTAGCCCCTAGCAAATATTTGTCTTAGAGTAAGCAGGCAACAAATATTTCTTAGATGAGAGGAGATTGTTCAATATTTATTCTCTTTATCAGGATTGCAGATTTCATTTCTGATTTTTCACTACACCAGCTACTCATAAAAGAACTGTAAATGGTTGACCAGAGCAATAGTATATCTGATAGAGGGCTTGCCTTGCACACACTTGACTCGGGTTCTATTCCTGGCATCCCATATGGTCTCCTGAATACCACCAGGAGTAATTCCTAAGTGCAGAGCCAGGAATAACCTCTGAGCACTGCTAGAGAACTGTTAGAAAAAGAACTAGAAATTCTGCCACTGTGACTTGGGACCTTAGAAAACGAAAGCTCCTTGAATTAATGTGACCCATCTAAGATACCACTTCCCTAACCACAAATATGGAATAAACCACTGGGAGGATTCATATTCTTTTTCAAATCTAATAAAAATTTTGTTTCATTTTGTTCTGGGGCCACTCCTGGTGATGCTCAGGGCCTTCTCTTACTCTGCACTCAGGAATAACTCTTGGTGTTCCTTGGGGATCAGATGGGATGCCATGGATTGAACTTGGGTTAGCCACATGCAAGGCAAACACCAGACCTGCTCTTCTACCACTCCGGCTCCTCTAATGAAAATTCTAGATCCTTTATTCTTACTGAG